CGCCATTTGTCTCTCTCTCTGTGTGTTTTATTCATGTCAGAGTTTGGCGCGTGTTTTAGGCCCTCACCGCCGCTTTTTGCCGGTGCGCTCCGGCGCTCGACGACGCGCTGGCACAGGCTCAACAAGGTGCTGTACGATCGCCAGCCGCAGTGGAACCCCTTGCAGAGACTTCAGTTGCCTTTGCGGAAAACGGTGGGAGACGTGCCGACACTCGACGGCACTTTAGACATCTTCGGCTACCAGCTTTTCCGCGATGGATTGCTGTCGCCACTCTCCCCGCCCCGCACTTACCAGCAGCCGGGACAACAACAGGACTTTACAGGGTTCCTACCAGATGCCCGAAAGGCGCAAAAAGAGCGTACGCGGTTGGAGGCCCGAATGCGTAAACACGGCGTGGTGCTTCGCCGGAGCATCAAGGAGACGTACCTCACAATTGGCTGCGACGAGGCTGGTAGAGGGCCGCTGGCAGGTCCGGTTGTGGGCGCAGCCGTCTGCCGCATCCCACTCTCTAGCTTTAATAACGAGCTGTGCGCTGTGTATGACGCGAGGGAGGAGTTTCAAATCTTCGACAGTAAGTCCTTGTCCGAAGGACAACGCAACGTAGTCTTCCAGAACATCACAGGGTACGAGAAGCTGTTTCATTTAGTCGCGGACAAGGCGTTTGTGGTGCATCACGCAAGTGGTGACGCCGCTCCTGACAACGTTTTGACAAAACGGTTCCCATCTCACATGAAACTCCAAAAGTTGCCATTTAAAAAGCTCCTGTCGATGCAAACGCCGTATTTGATTTCGTACCATGGCCAAAACGTCTGTGGGAATTATTTGTACTTGTGGGGTATTGGCATAGCGAATCACGCGTACATTGATATGACCAACATTTATCTCTCCTCAATGCGTACAATGCACCGCTCCTGTTTTTCCATTTGGCGCATGCTGAATGACGCACGCTTTTCTCTTGAGAGGGCGCCTCGGCCCAAGCATTGCTCCATCGCTCAATATCTCTTTTCGCGCTACTGCATCGCCGCACCCCATGACGATAAGAAACGTTATGTGGTGCCGTCACACGTTGAGCTTGTGAGTGGGGCGTCAGAATTTTTTGACACGGAGCCGGTACAGCCACCTTTGATTTTGGTGGACGGTCACGCCGCCCCGGAGGAGACAATAAGTTTTTTCACGGAAATACAAACAGGCGGTTGTGTCCAGCCCATCATTGAAGGGGATAAGAGGAGTTTAACAATTGCGGCAGCTTCATGTCTTGCAAAAGTGGCGCGCGATGAGATCATGAATTACGTGAGTACGTTGTATCCGAAATACCAGTTTGCGGAGAACAAGGGGTACCCTGTGGAGTATCACATGCGTGCCGTACAGCGGTATGGCGTCTCTTCCATTCACCGTAAATCTTACAAGCCATGTGCTACTGCCATTACAAAGCAACTGAAGCGCAAGGCGAAGGAATCCCAGACATGTAGCTGAAGGTGTCGAAAACGGATAGATAGAAAATTAGAAAGAAAGAGAGCGAGAGGGAGAGAGGAGGAGAGAGCGGAGGGGAATCTCCTCAATAATGCACTGTAAAAAAGCTTTTTCTTCTGTTTTATTTGTGGAGAGGGACGGCTGCCCCAATACTCCCTTTTTTAAATGTTTCCTGACTATTTCTTTGCTTTCATGGTTCCTGTGTGTCCCCTTCTCCCCAAAGTTTAGGTAGACGCCAGGGAAAAGGAATAATATTGACGCGGATTATTTTCTTTCTTTTTTCTTTTTTGTATATAATATATATATATGTGTATTTGTGCGCGTCATGCCTACAGATGCGGCGTGTCCTGAGATGGAGGACGATTGGGTTTTATCCCTTCCGGGTAGTGAGTCTGTTGCGATCCTAACGAGGTGTTTAGACCGCACTGAGGAATCAATACAGAGACTGCGCCTGCGCCAATGTGAGGAGATGTCAAGTTTTCAAAACACTTTGGATGCATTGAACGGCGAGGAGACACGCATTTGGAGCCAATTTCATGTCTTGGAAATGCGGTGGGAGGAGCTGACTGCACTTCTTTGGCTCCCACCGGGGTCCCTGAATGCTGAATCTCTATGGGACGAGATGCATCAGTTAGCTTTGACTGAGGTGGGGCTTCAGGTTGTGGAGGCTCAGACGGAGGAGAATATTCATTCCCTGCGTGCGCGGATGGCTCATCAATGCCATGGGACTAACCCGGATGGCATTCTTTTGTTCAATGAAAGGCTTGTATTCTCTCGGTATCACATGTCGCGAGCGATGGCTCCCACTTGCCTTTGTCACTGTGCGGGGTACGAGGGACACCCTGCCGTCTTGGCCAACACTTTTATGAACTTGGATCCTCTCCTCGACGTCGATTTTGCGGGTGACACAGCTCCTTTAGAGGCTGGAACGGAAGGGCCGCACGTTTCTTCGTTGGAGTTAAAAGAATTTTTGGAGGACATTACCAACCCCACAGACGAATTTTATGGAGTGCGTGATACACTGGGCCGCTTTGCGTCTGTGTCTCCACCTTTGGTGCTTCAAAGGGATGAGGATGGGAATACTCCTCTTCACATTGTGTGCCGCCTATTTAATCCATCGCTGGTTGTAATGCGGGAGTTGCTGCAAGCGGGTGCCGACGTCAACGCCAAAAATTCGGCTGGCCTCACCCCTTTTCATATGGCTTGCGTAAACAAAAGTGAAAAAAACAGGTTGCTGATGGAGCTCTTGCTGGACAGTGGCTGTGATGTGAATGTGCGTACGGCTGAAGGTGAGACGGCAGCTCATATGTGTGCCGCCGATGACATGTACTTTTGCTCAATTGAATTTCTCTACCATGTGGGAGGTGATTTTTCAGCAAAGGCATTTGTTGGGGGTGCGTGGTGTACACCCATTGATGTTGCACGCGCCAACGGTGTGAGAGCGTCCCGCATTTTCAACCAGCTGAAGGCCTTTTTTTTGTAGTTATTTATTTATTTATTTATTTATTTTAATTATTTACTTATCTTTTTTATTTATTTATTTATTTTTGTTGGTTTTTATTTCACATGTATCTGCATTGCAGTACGCTTCTTATTCATTACAAGAAAAAAAAAAAAAACATCAAAAAATAACAGCCAAAACGACTACTGCCCACTTTTCCGTGTTTGTTGCAATGCATTAAACTTGGTGGTTTGACATTGACAACTCTTCTGTGCCCTCCTTACCCATTTCATATGCATATGTATGCATATGCGCATGCTTGCAATATGTGTGTTTTTGAATCCCTTTTGAGTGCTTTTTTTTTTCATGGAAGGGAACCGATGGTTGTGCTGCGAATTATCGGGGACGAATGGTCGTGGGAAGACCGTATCGCCCTTGCGGTGCCTCCTCAAAAGATGTTTACCATGTGCATTCCGCTTTTGATATCCAAACTTGGCGTGGAAAAATGGAATGGGCTCGTGCTCTACAAGACGGAAGGAAAACCACGTAAGTACTGTCGCGCCACGACGCCAATAGACATGGCAAGCAACCCGCAGAAGGAGCGCTTACGGGACGGAGCGGTGCTGTGGGTGCGAGTAGGCCCTTCACTCACACAGCAGGAGCGGGATCGTGTTTTTCAAAAGTCGCTGGAGGAGTGGCGCGAAAAGAACGGGTTGAAGGGGGTTTCGGTTGATGGTAGCGATGTGAGGCGTTTCGTGGAGGAGTTGAATTCGCGTCTGAATAGAACGGACGCTGCTCTTTTGATTAGTCAGGAGCAGGAAGCACGAACTGCAATTGAGGGGGAGGAGCATCGCCTTTTCTTCTACATGACAATGATACATCGTGAAAAGGACACGTTGCTGCGAGAAGAGACAGAACAACGGCAAAGCCTGGAAGACGCGTACATTCGCGTGGCGGAACGGCATTACCACGAAAATCGGCTGCTGCTACTTCGCACGCGCGTGGTAGAATTGGGCGTGTGTGAGGAAGGAAGCCGCCTTGTCGTTCAGGAGGAGCAATGGAGGGAGTTTGAAATGCTTCAGGGGGCGTTTCAAAAGGGGCATCGGGCACTTCAAGATGCCAGGGCACTGCAACTCGCTGATTCGAAGCCAATGTTTGAGGGACAAAATGAGGGGAGGGGGAAAACGTCGAAAAATGAAGAAACCGTGGGGACGACTGCTGACGCAGCGATGTTGGTTTCCGTAGTGCGCGCGGAGCTGCAAAGGCTGTTGGAGCCTTTGGAAAAGGTCTACCATGAAAAAGTGGAAATTCTTGAGAAGCAGTGGGAGGCTACCGTCAGAGACAATGAGAATTTTCTTGCATCTTTGCGACAGTACATTAGTAGTCTTTTTCGCGTTATTCGTAGCGAGTTGAGGCAATCGGATTTTTCTTTGCTTTTAGTTCCGTCGGATTCCATGGGCATAAAGGGGATTAACGAGGCTCTGAGGCAACAACAAGGCCTACTGAAGGAGTTATTACAAGAGTACCGTGATTTAGACCGGCAGGTATCGGGTGCTCTTGGAGAGACTGCCTTGAAGACGACGTTGGACACCGTAAATGTGACTCAGCTAAACCTGTACCAATATCTAGAATCATTACGGGAACTGCTGAGTGCGACGCAATTGTTATGGTGTGGCGTGGAAGAGGCAAAAACCCAGGAAAGTGCATATCTCACGCAGGATGCGTTGGAAAAGCAGCAACAGGAGGAGCCCGAGAGAAGGGCAATTTCCTTGGAGGGCGTGGCGGTGACGGCGTTGCAAACCGAGAGGATGGATGACCACAGAAATGGGGAGAAAGACCTGACTTTCAGAGTTCACACGGATGTGTACAACATATTGTTGATGTTTGTATCGCGGTACGTTGAGTTCTCTAGCTGGGGGTCATTTGAAGGGGCTGAGGGCAGCCGAGGCTTTTTGGATGATTTGCTGCTTAATTGTGGCTCTTTGCAGGTTGCCGTCGATGAACTTTCTCGGACATGCAAGGTGTTGCCCCATCCCATGCGGGAAGATATCCTCCATGTGGTGGAGGCTCACGCTCCGCACTTATTTGGAGTGATAGATCTCATGCTTCATCTCTATGCTGGGAGGGAGGCAGAACTTGTGCTATGGATAAGACCCGAATTGAATGATGAGGGTGGGTTCGTAGAGCACAAGACGGATGATGGCTTCACGTACTATTATCATACAGCTGCTGGGATGAGCCAGTGGGTGCGGCCGGTCACCGCATCACTCACGGAGTGAAAGAAGTTGTGAATGCGCATATATTTCTTTGAGCCAATTAAATTTGCCGGTGTTTTGGTCCGGATATCGTGGTGGAAATCTCTGTGTATATTTTCTGTAGTTGCGTTGGCTTTTTTTTTTTTGCCGGGCGGGTTAAAATGTAAAGGAGACGAACGCGGAGCCACCCCGTGTTGTGTTTGATGTTTTAATTTTTTTTCTTTTTTTTTTTTTTCCTTCTAAAATATGGAAATTAAACAACATTATTATTATTATTATTATTATTTGTAGGATAAAGGGATTTTGCAATATTTTTTTTTTCGTGTGTGTGTTTGCTTTGAGCTCATCATTGTTAACAACATCTGCTGTTAAATCAGGGACGCAAGGGATACATGTCGGAGACAACCATTGCTTTTCGTTGTAACAGCTTTGTGCTGGTAGCAGCAGCAGGGCTGAATGCCTTCTATTACATCAAGATCATGGACACGGAGGATAAGGTCACGCAGTTGGATTCCCACAAAGTGGTGGCGTGCGCGGGCGAAAACGGCCCGCGGGTCAATTTTGTGGAGTATATCAAATGCAATATGGCCTTGAAGCGAATGCGAGAGCACGGTCGTGTTATTAGAACTTCCGCCGCGGCCTCTTTTATGCGTAATGCTCTTGCCGGTGCCCTGCGCAGTCGTGACGGGGCGTATCTTGTCAACTGCCTTCTTGCCGGCTATGACGTTGCGGCGTCTTCCGATGACGACATTGCCACGGGACCACACTTGTACTACATGGATTACCTTGGGACAATGCAGGAGGTCCCGTATGGGTGCCACGGGTACGGTGCCTCCTTTGTGATTGCAATGCTTGATCGTCTCTGGCGTCCCGATTTAACAGCGCAGGAGGCCGTGGACCTGATGCAAAAGTGCTGTGATGAAGTGAAGAAGCGTGTGGTGATCAGCAACGACAAGTTTATTTGCAAAGCTGTGACGGAAAATGGTGTGGAACTTGTAAACACCGTGAGCTAGGAAGATATATATCTAAATGTATCTCTCTCTGTATATATATATATATATACATCCATATGCGTATATGTGCAGCGTCTCTTGTGACCGCAACGGGCACAGGAGGGAGTGATGCATGAAATTTTTTTTTTTCTTTTTGTTGTTTTTTTCTTTTTTTTCTCTCGCGTTCACTCTTTCTGAAATCACTTCCGCTCCACTCACCCTTTTGCCAGAGAGCGACTGTACGAATGGACTCCTCTGCGCCCGGAGACATTCACACACTTTTTCTTTTTTCTTTTTTTGTGTGTCCTATTTATCGATTTATTCATTTTTTTTTTTTTTTTTGCCTGTGTTGCTGCTTTGCAACGCGAGGAAGGAGGAGAGTCATAAGTGGTCACCCCGCCCACATGTCAATTGAACCGGACCATTGGAGCTTCTTTCAGCTCCCGCCTTTTTTTGCGCTCCAACCGGGGCCGACCGCACTTGCACGACAGACTTCCCTCTGGGGAAGTGCTATTATTGACCACGCGGCCTATCATGCGCCAAGGACGAGACCGGGTGTGTGCCCATTTCTCCGTCTCTACAAGAGCACAAGCGATGTGTTTCGCAACCCCAGTCTTAACCGGCGTCTCCCGCCGGAGGCGGCGGCACGGATGCTTGAGTCCCTCGTAGCACAACATCCGAATCATTGTGCTGTTGTGCTACCTGGCAATGACAAGGGTGAGAACGATGGCGCGGACTTTGCCGTTCTTCTTGCCTGCAATGAGAGCGGGCTGAAGGGACTGGAGCAGGCGCTTCTGTCGTGGATTCTTGACCGAGGGGCTGGCACGACCACCGCACATTTGGCGCAGAAGGGTGTGGTGATGACCTTTGACGAGCTGGCCGAGAGCAACTGCCTGGCGTACCGACGGGACCGGGAGCCGTTCTTGAAACGGCTCTCAGCGGCTCCCGTGCCTGTTGGTGATGTGGGAGCACTTTCAAACGAGCAGGCCATACGCACTTTGCTCCACTCCCTCAAAAGCCGACCACTTTCAGCGCTAAGCCCAATTCACATTACGTTGTTCAACATGGACGGCAGCGACAGACGGCCATATGAGGGCGTAAAATTTGGGGGGGCCGTTGCATGTTGAGGCCATGTGGAGCGGTAGGACGAAAACGAAGAACACCCAATCCCATTTTGGTACCTGCTTGATTACATATATTTACGTTTGCATTTGTTTTTTTTAATTCTTTGTTGACGGAACAGTGGCTCATATGTGCAAATTTTGATTTTTTTTTTTTTTTTTCCCATTCTTGTGTAATGTTGGGTTTTGTTTTGCTCCTTAATATATATATATATATTATTTTTGCTTCACGTTTATATTTTTATTTTTATTTTTATTTTTATTTTTGTTCTTCCACCAGAGTGTTGAAATCACCGCGTGGACAAGTGCTAGAGGTCCAATGACAACAGCGAATGCCAAAGAAGCGGAGGGTCCCTGCAACTTCAACTACGTTAGACAATATGTCTCCACGTTGAACTACCCGCTGGAAAAGATGAGTGACATGACGGAGGAGATGCGGGCGGAGTGCAAGGAAATTGTAGTGAACGCGATTGAAAAGCATGAGGACAGCTACGAACATGCAGCCAAGCACATCAAGGAGCAGATGGATAAGAAGTACGGCACGTCGTGGCACTGTGTGATTGGAGAGGGGTTTGGTTTTGAAATCACATACGAGATGAAGCACCTCATGTACATGTTTCACAGGGGCTACATGGCGATAGTCGTCTTTAAGGGCCTTTAGCTGCCCCTCGGGTCGTATGCACAAATGTACATACAAAGGGCGTGTGCCATTATTGCCGGTAGGGGTAAAAGGAAAGGTACTTCAGAATGTATCCCCACACGGCAAGGGGAGGATACATGCTCCAATGCAAAAAGGAAAAGAAAAGAAAAAAGGAAACATTAAGTGGGACGGTTTGTAAGAACGTTGCAATGAATGGAAGTGTGAGCTTTTTGCACGTCCCTCTTTTAGAACCGATGTACTTTTCCTTCCACTACGCGTGGGTTGAGGCCCTTTTTTATTTAAAAAAATTTCTTTTTTGTCATGTTCTTTGTGGAGGGGGGGGGGGGGGGGGGGCACCGGCATTGCGTTGCCTGCACACACACACACACACACACAAGGTTTCTCTTGCCTTTTTCTTCTCTTTTTCTTTTATTTATTCATTACTTAACGGGAGGAACGAGGCGGAAAGAAGAGAGGGCTCCCTCTCTTTGTGGTTTTTTTTTTTTTTTTTTTAGTGTTGGATGGCCGCGATGACTGCGACGGTCCATTTGTTGCCGCGCACCACATCTGAATGGATTGCGCTGGTGCAAAGGGCGCTTCCACTGCGACTGGATGAATTGCGCATGCCTAACCATTTTCTTTTGAAGGACATCCACACAGGGCGTTGCCGTTCACACCTGCAGCATTCAATGCCGCCGCACAGTAAACGCGAGAGCGCCGTTTTAATTCTTCTCTCGCCCCCCGTTGGGTTTACGGGGAAGGGATTTCAGGAGATGTGCATGACGCTCACAA